GAGGACTGGTGTTGGCCCGACATGTTGGAGCGATCTACGCCTAGTCCCGAAGAATAGATGAAGGGGGGAGGAAGCCCCCCTTGTTGCTGCAACTGAATAGGAAATGAAGGCTGGGGGGCTCCTGGTGCTGGTACCCAAGGTACAAAGGCGTGGCCGGCCCAAGTAGGCATTCCGTAGAATTGTTGTCCATGTGGCGACGGTACAAACGTGGGATTGACATGAGAGCTAGAGAACGCTTGAGATGATACGGCTTGGCCTCCACTTCCTCCCACCAGTGTTCGAGAAGGGGAGAGGTCTAGGTGACCCATCGGACCCATGTAGCCTTGAGAGCCTTGCTGGTTGAGGGCAGATTGACCATGAGGGCCAGATGTACCTTGATTGTTCCGTGTGGTGCCTTGGGAGGCTTGGTTCGCTTGAGATCCAGATTGTTGACCGCCACCTCTTCTGCATTTGTTCGCCGAGTGAAAGAAGGCCCTGCAACGACGGCATCTGGGGGTGTCCGAGGAGGCCAATTTGACCTCCAGTTCATCCCCTTCAGACGTGAGGATTAGCAGCTTGTCTTTCATGTTCGGTCGGGCGGCAGGGTCCACGTCAAATCTGACGTTAATCAATGAAGGCTTCAGTCTATCCGGTTCGATGGGGTGAGTACGAATTACCGGACGGATAGCCCTTCTGATTTGTGCCTCCAAATAAAGGAAAGAATCAAGTGGCACTTGAACTGCTGTCACCCAAAAGGATTGAAGGTCTTCTGCTTGCCGCTGGACTCGTAATTGTGCCTTCGTCATCCACGGCTTGAATTCGAGTCTGTACGTGCCCGACCCCACCGTGATTTCGTCAGCTCCTTCAGTAACCATCCAAGAACCAATTGCCCTGTTCTTAGCAACGTAAGACACTACGTTGGGACTTTCCGCCTTAACTTGCCCTCTTCTAAAATTCTCTGACTCAAAGCTCCCGTCCTGAATTTTATCATCCTCTAAAATTCTCTGACTCAAAGCTCCCGTCCTGAATTTTATCATCCTCTTATGCTCTGACGATATCATCCTTGACCTTTTTCGGTAGAAACCGTGCCCCTTCTCTAAATATTATCGTAACTGTATGCTCTTTGAGCCAATTAATCTTAATCTTATCCAACGACGCGTTGACTCGAAACTGAACTTCCTGACCATCAACTTTCATTTCCCCAGGATCAATATCCGTCGGCAGAATCCCTTCCTCATAGCATAGTCTCATGAGTTCTCTAACCCGGGCTTCATCTTCCCTACCTATCCCTGGATCGGGTGGAGGGGATAGAGGTGCCCTCTGATTTTCGCCTTCCTCCATTACAGCACCTTCCATAATACAAATTGAGATAAAGCACACAAATGGAGATAAAGCACACACTCAGCCAACTTTGACAGCTGCCGACGAAAAAAAACAGCAACGCGAGAAAAACCGAGCTTATCTAAAAAGTGCTATTCGGCTATATCGCCGAAAGCGACGCCTACCAATATGAACAAGCTCGAATAAACTGACAGCATAAACTTACGCATAGGGTTAGGAGGGCTGGACGCTACGAACTCTTCGTCCTAGGCTACCAAGCTCGAATAAACTGACAGCGTAAACTTACGCATAGGGTTAGGAGGGCTGGATGCTACGAAGTCTTCGTCCTAGGCTACCATAGTTAGCAGCTTGAGAACGACTCACTGGAACAAAGCAGTAGAGCATAGACGATGCAAACCACCATGGCGTCATCATGCTGGTGACGTCAATGGCCGCCGCAGACCCTCGTTACCGAGGAGATAGCGCTTGGTCCGAAACGCGATAGCGCCGGCGGAAGCCCTCCCGGCCAAACCCCCACTTAGCCTTTATGTTAGATTGTAAATTCTTTCGTCTTATTTATTATTAAGTTTTTTAGTTCTGAATCATCTAGAATGTGTGATCCCACAATCCACACATCTGTGTCACGTTCCCCCGGGGTTGAGGTGCTGTGCACTTTAGGAAGTTGTCCATCCATGCCATGTCCCGCATATGCATGGCTGCAATCATGGGGACGAGCACCTTCCGTTCAGATGATTGACTGCAAGTGCATATCAAGTCAAATACGGAGATCGTGCATATGCTGTGCATGGAGTTGTGAAAACGTTTCGTGTGGATCGGTCACTTTTTGTTCGCCGCTGCGCATATGGATCACGAAAGTACATGCACGCCATTGAAGTACGTGTCGATGAGCGCAGGGCAACCGAGGAGGGTCTGGGGGAAGGATATCTTCCGTGAATGCATGTATAACCCTTTTTGGGCAATCAGCCACGTCAATTTGTTGGGTTGATGGCTTGCATTGGGTGCTCACAAAGCCATCGCAGTGTACGTGCATGGGGGTTTTAGCGCTTGGTCCATCCCGATGCTAGTCATGCAGGAGTCCGGCTGCACACAGCTTAAGACTAGAAAGATGGCATTCGTCATCCAAAAAAAAACCGTGCGTGCGATGCAAATGTCCTGCCGATCTGATGAAGATCGTCCTGTATTATCAGCTAACAAGCGGGAAGTTGCAGCCCACTGCTTGGGCTGATCGTTTGTTGATTCTGCCACTTAGCATGCATGTGATTTCGACGTGCGCATTGGCCAGCAGAAACTGACACGTGTGAAAGCAGTCTCTGAAAAAACACCATATCATCTCAACGATAGCAAGCAGGGAATGAATGAGTCCCTTGTGAAATTCTCCACGCGAAATAGATACGGCACGTACACATCAAACCCTTTTTTTTATCTTTTTTTTTTTTTTTTTTTTCTCCGAGCCTGTTTTTGCCGACCCTTGACACGCGAAGAGTTTTGCCGAAACTGGCGTTTGCACAGCACCATGTCGTCTTTCTTGTCTGCTGCCGATGCTAAAGAACAAGGGGGGGGGGAGGGAAAGACAAGAAGAAAAAGGAAAAAGGAAGCATCCCTAACGCCGTGATAGTTGTCACGTACATTCTATTAAGTGCTAGTGTGCTCTTGCCCTCAGTGAGGGCGTGTCCGAGAAAGAACAGAATAATGATAATAAGAAGAAAAAAATCCAGCATCTCTTATGCGGTTATAGCGGTCAGCTACGTTCTGCTCCAGTGATCGTACCCTCTGTGCACTCCCTGAGGGCGTTGCTGTCCCCCCCATGTCGATCACGCCCTGCCTTGCTGGCAGGGCACTATAAGCAAAAAGAAGAATAACAAACGAAACAAAACCAACAATACTCATGTTCTCCTAATAATGGCCACATGCATTCTGGAAAATAGAATTGCTACAGTACCCTCGGTGAGGACTTTCCCCGACATCCCGGATGTAGTAGCTCTCAGATCTTTTTTTTTTTTTTTTGGCTCTCATGTTCATTGTATTTGAATCTCAGCCACGTGGTGTCGTGCCTGCCCCGAGGCGTGTCTTTTCAACCTGTAGCCTACAAGTTGTACTTCGCGTTTGCCTGTGAAGGGTAGTGGTGGTTCCAAACAGGAGATGGCTTCACTCTATTGGTGGGGAGCTTACCTAACACAGACAACAGGACGGCTTTCTCTCGCGAAGAAGGCGAGGCAATGACCGTATCGACGATAGTACGAGGCGCAGGCGGGCCTTGCGTTTCTTAACCGACGTGAGAAAAGCAGTGACATACACTTAGAAGACACTCAAAAACCCGTGAGAGTAGTACACAGAGTGATGGCGGTGAAGCCCTGTCTCAGCCCGTGAACCGACTTCTTCTCACACATTTATTTGGTTGACGTGTACTGTGACAGCCAATGAAATACAACATGCTCCATCACGTGATGAACATCTTTTAATATGAGAGTTGAAATTACCAACGACTATCCCCGCCCCTTCGTGCTCGGTTTCGTAATCAGGTGATCATTACAGGGTGGATCGTGAGCGTGTACTACGTGTTACCCACGCCGCCTGGTGTGTTATCATGCAGCACATGGTAAAGATGTGGCAGTACACAGCGACGCAACTTCAAAGTATTCGCGACAGGTCTTATGCCGTGAATAGCATGCTGCCATGGCAGAAAAAGAAATACATGAAATTCAATGCCAATGCACATCACAACAAACTTTCGTAAAATGCAGCTTGCACGCGTGTACACAGAAAAGAACAGCAAATGATCATGAATATCATTACCACAGCCGCACAAGATGGACAAAAACAAACTGTCTGTCGTGCCCCCGCATCTCTGATTGACACTCATTGACAAATACCGAAGCCCCGGACTGCAAAATAATACATGGACTTCGCATCCAGTCGAATCATGCATCATGGACTCTCTCTCTCTCTCTCTCTCTCTCTCTCTCTCTCTCTCTCTCTCTCTCTCTCTCTCTCTCTCTCTCTCTCT